GGGAAGGATTAATATTGTCTTCATTGTTAATTTCACCCCCAGTTGTTTATTTGTGCACTATCAGAAGTGGGATTCCAAAGTGTGTCCTTCCTTTCTGTGATTGTCAGTAGATGTGGGTATAGGAGACAGCTGGACTGCATACCAAATCCAGCTATTCACATGGCTAAATGACTTGATTTGTGCTTCCAGTTGCTTATTCTAGCAAAAGTCTAAAACTTATTTAATTTCAATACTGTATACTGTAGGTTTATACTTCACATTGTTTTTAACTGTCCTAAACTAACAAGATGAAGGAGCAAGATCCTCATCCAATGCCTTCAACAGAGCTACATCATCTTACTATGCATTTGTTAAATTTACTTGGTCTGTCATTACTTAATATATACTGCATTTCCATTAATTAAGGATAGTTATTTACATTGAAAGGGTGATGGGGTGGAATTGCTTAGATAGCAGAGCAAATCCCTCATGACTCTGGCACTTCTGCAATGTTTATCCAGGTCTGCAAAGACCCTTCTGGACCCATTCCGGCTTTTGCTCCACTATGGACTATTTTTAAAAGGCAAGTTATATATATTAGCATGCCAGGAGAAAGATATATGATTATCTAACATGAAAAACTGTTAGACACATGCTAGAAAAAGCTTACAGTACACCATGATGCCATTCTACTTTACATGTAGCAATTTGCTCATCAGTTCTACATAATACATCTGCAACAAAGAGGAACAAAGAACAACTAAATCTCGTACAGGTTTTAGTGTCAAATTATAACCCAAAACTGCAAAGTCAACTATTAAATCTCTTTTTCACTAAGAGAATTTGAACAGAAACAGTTTTCCACTGTTTGTATTACCACCACTAAAGCTCACAATGGATTCCTTATAGAAGATTCTTTATATACATATATAAAGATGATTCTCTGTACAGAATGAAACACTGTGACTGAGAAATACTGAGCTTTAAGCACAAGGCTTAATCAGCAGAACTAGCACTACACATTTTATATGAAGTTAAGGGAAGACAGAACAAGTTATTTATCGTCAATATCCTGTTCTCACCTAAAAAAAAAAAAAAGTATTTCCCTCTATTTCCATCCATTTTATATAGTAATGCATGTTTCACTCACATATCATAACAGAATAGTGCAGGAGAAGTTGTTCTTCT